TTAACTATCAGGCTAACTTTGGGGTTAACTATCGGGTTAATTGGTTCAGTCTTTGTTCAATATGAATGTGAGGATTATGACTGTTGATAGCAGAGAAACTGGAGAACTTTTGCTGAATCTGCATATTTCTGGTCATTTTAAAGGCGTCTTTGTGTGTATGTTGGTACGTATACATGTAGCATCGCTGCTTTATCCTGCACTAGTTCACCTCAAACCAAGCCTGCATTCTTTGTGTAGCTTAAACTTTTTGTGGCTTTGCTTCACAGACGAGTGCACTTTGACCAGTTTACTCTGAAGTGACCGAACCTGAGTCAGTGTTTGTGCTCCCCCTGGTATGAACCCCGGCTGCCTGTGATTGGACGGATGCCACGGTTGGTCAGTGGATATCTGCAGGGCTTCCTGACTGTGGGTTAGTGGGCTGCAGACCGCAAACAGTCCACAGGGTTAAAAACCTCAGAGGTCCACGATGATGCCTCGTGATGTTGTCCTGCTGCTGCTGGTTCTGTTTGGGGCGTCCAGCGGCTGCCTGCAGGACGCCCCCTCAGCCTACAATCTGACCGGGGTTGTATGCCGACTGACCTACCCCGCTGTTGCCGTCTGTGAGTTTCATTCATTCATTCATTTAATCCAACAGTCACGTTCATGCAAATTAAACCAGCATGTTTGTTGGAGAAGTGTTAAAACTTGGAGTCAGCATCTCTGCCAAACTGCTGGATGTCAGATCAAATGTAGGCAGCAGGTGGCATCAGTGTGTCGCAGTTTTTTTGGTTAAATTTGATTTAAAATCAATGCAATAAAAAAAAACAGGGTTGAAACTTTGATCATCCATTTTTCTTCTTGTCAGTTACATTTCTGTTTCGTTTCATCTGGGACCCAAACTAAGTTCTGCAAAAATATTTTTGGCTGAATTTTGAGGATTTTATATGTTTTAGACCTGGGAATCTTTCTACTTTTTAATCCTATAAAAACCCATGAAGTTATTTTAAAGGTTCAACAAATCAGTAAACTCTGAACAAAATCTGAGATGGTGCAGCGACATATTTCCTGAAATCCGATTGAAGGGAACTGACCTAAAACTAAAAATGACATGAGGTCTACGTTGAGGTGCAGCAGACCATCTACACAAAGCTAGAGGACAGTCTGACCGCACAAGACCAACGCAGAGCTGTCAGTCTGCAACCTCCACGTGCACAAAGGCACGAACTGAAGCTCTAAATATGCATCAGACTGATTTTTAAAGTACTGACACCAAATGACAATTTTCAGCCTGAACGACGCACTTTGCAAACCGCAACATAATGCACTAAAAGGTTTCAGTATCTTGAGAGATGTCAACGTGTTCTTTAAGTGTTTGTTTGTCTGCAGTGAACGAGAAAACCACTAAAGTGATCGAGGCGGCGTTTCAACATGCTCGATACCCGAGTATGAACGGAGAGAAATCCTTGCTGTTCATCGGTAGAGTCCTGTACGGCCTCGACAAGTGAGTGCACGTAAATATAGACACTGTTACCGTAAAAATATTCACCCCCCTTTGAAATGTCTCACCTAATTCATTCAACTCAGTGGGTGGTAGAAGTCCTACAGTTAGGAATATGGAAGGAGTATGACACATGTAAATCTGACTAGAACATGACGTCCTCAAAAACTGAGTGACTGAGCAAGAAGGAGACGAGTGACGGAGGCCAACAAGACTCCTACGACTCCTCTGAAGGAGCTACAAGCTTCAGCAGCTGAGATGTTAGAGACTGTTCCTACAACAACTGCTGTCTGTTCTTCACCATCAAAGCTTTATGGGAGACAAAGAGAAAGACTCTGTTGGAAACAGCTCAGATTAAATCTGGACTAGAGTTCACCAGAAGACATGTGGAGACTCTGAAGTCACCTGGAAGAAGGTTCTTTGGTCTGAGGAGAATAAAGCTTTTTTTCCCCCTCAGATTAGACGTTATAGTTGGTGGACACCAAACTCTGTATCACAAACACACCATCCCTACAGTGAAGCACGGTGGTGGCAGCATCATGATGTGTGGATCTTCTCAGCAGCAGCCTGGAAGGCTTGTGACGGTCGAGGGTGAATGAATGCAGCAAAGTGTAGAGAAATCCTGGAGGACCACCTGATGCAGTCTGCAGGAGAACTGAGACGTGGAGAAGACTTGTTTTCTATCAAGACAATGAGCCGAAGCTCCACAGAAATGGTTTAAAGACAACAAGGTGAAGTTCTGGAGGCCCAGTCAGAGTCCAGACCTAGAGTCCAGAATTAGTGTCTGGACCTGAAACGTTCTGTTCACTCATGAACTCATGTGAAACCTGACAAAGTCTGAACAGTTTTATAAGAAGGTGAAACTGCAGCATCCAGATGTTCAGGCTGATGGAGACCAACAGGATCAATGATGGAACTGGAGTGTAAATAGTGACTGCAAGGAGGTGAAATGTTATGCAATCACTCATTTTGTTTTATTGTTTTAATTAACTGATGTGACTTTGTAGAAACCAGATTTTACTTTGACATTAAAGAGTCTTTTCTGTACATTATTGTCAGAATAGCCCAGTCTCATTGACAATGATTCACAGCTGAAAAGCAACAAAACAGGAAACTTCCAGGGGGGTGAAATACTTTTTATGCAAACACAAACTTATATTTATACACAACATGTAATGAAATCGTGTTTCTGATCAGTTTGGAGATTCACAACCTGTCGATTGGTCGGAGTGCATTCGAGCTGCTTCCGGGTGAAGGCATTGCCATGGAGATCAGTAACGTATCTGCAGTGTTTAAAGGAACCATCCAGTATGGATACGGCAGCTGGCTGTGAGTCCACACAACACATCATTCAATCACTTTGTTTTAGCTCGGAGACAGAAAAGAACCTGAACACAAGCTGAAAATCAGATTTAAAACACCCCAAAATGTGTATTTCTTGTTTTTCTTTTTGAATCAGAGTCAGCGTTGCACAATCACTTGACTTTGAGATCGAGTCTCAGATTGATCTCGGAATCAACCCCAAACTTTGTGAGTACTTTATGTTTCACATCTTAAAGGTGTTTGTCATCCTGAAAAATGTCATGTCTCTGTGCTGCACTGATGAAGTCATAAGGCTCAGAAATGATGGAAAACTATGAAAAACAAATAGTGAGGGAGGCCACCAAGACACTATGAGTTCCTTGAAGGAGTTACAAGAAAGAGACTAGAGAAGGTGACCACCAAGACACCTGACTTTCTTGAAGGAGTTACAAGAAAAAGACTAGTAAGGAAGGTCACCAAGACACTCATGACTCCTCTGAAGTTTCAACATTACATGAAAGACAACAAAGGAAGAACATACTCAATGTAGCATTCACCACATACTTTAGGAACATTTTTGGAGAAAAGTCTTTGGAGAACTTTATTCTGCCTTTAAAAAGAACATTCTGGGACCAAAACAGAACTTCTTTCTAAAAACACTCCTTGAACTTCGCAGAACTTTCTCACAAAATGTTTTTTTGGAGCAAAGAAATTCCACGTGGATGTTTTGTTTGTTTCTAATCCTCTGTTTTCTCTGGTGTCTGTCAGACTGTGGTGAAGGTAAAGTGGCAGCAGATACCTCTGACTGTTACCTGAACTTCCACAAACTTCACCTTCACCTGCAGGGAGACAAAGAGTGAGTGACTCACCTGAAGTCTGTCCAGTCAAACACCCGCGTTCACAAATCACAGCGTCTGTTTTCTGTGTTCAGGCCAAACTGGCTGAAGAAGCTCTTCACCGACTTCATCACCTTCACCGTGAAGCTGGTCATCAAAGGACAGGTGAGACACGTCGACCAATGAGATCGCTGTGTTCTGCTCACGTGATCGGCGCTGACAGTCTGTCGTCCAACAGATCTGCAAGGAGATCAACAAGGTGGCCAATATCCTGGCCGACTTCATACAGGAACGGGCAGGTCAGTTCGGTCAACTTTAAGTTACACTGGCAGGTTAGAAAGGTGTGTTTTCATTTAAATATTCACCAAAATGAGAATATTTATTGACCAGAAAATGAAAAAAAAAAGATGAAATAGCAGATTTTCCACAGTTCTTGAATGTATTGTCTGTGACGTTCCATCAGGAAAATAAACTGATTAAAAAAATGTNACACCACTAAGAACCTTTGACCACAGATATACAGGGTCTATTAAAGTTATCCACTGTTATTGCTTTACAACACTGAGTCAGAAACAGGATAATAAATCGTGTTATGCCTCGGTCTAGGGGAACGTTTGGCATAACATGAGTTTTGCTCCACCAGACTTCCCACTCCAGCGACCAGAATGCCACATGTCAAAAACCAGCAGCATCTTTTTATTTTATGAGTCCAGAGGGAGACATGAGCCGACATAGCAAACAGAAAACACTCTAAATTAACCTTGGCTTCCCTAGCAAAAAGAAAAGGTACATAAAAGACAGTAATCTTACCTAACTGCTGAGAAACAAAACAGGAGAAAAAGGGTTAAAAGAAAAAGGCCTCTCCCTCCTACTTCTGCTCTCTGGCGATCTACAACATTTACAAGTTCAGAAAAGTCCCAAAGTCCATGGTGCACAACGACTGACAAACTCGTGCTGCTGCTGCCGCATCCTACAGCACCGACACAACGGCATGCTGGCGTTTCCTTGTGGTGGCAAAGCTGGAGAGGTGAGGAGGCTGAGTGCAGCTGGTGGGCTGTTGAAATAGATGATGGACCCGCCCCCTGACCAATCGCGTTGCAGGAATCAAGCGAGGCAGCCAATCAGTGGTCACCACCTGCTCCTAATCCACTCATTCACAAACCATGAACACACACACACACACACACACACACACACACACACACTGAGGAGAAACAGCGAAACACAAATACACATCAAACTACATATGACCCACAGGGTTATAACAATATACTTTGGCTTTTCAGACAAAGTGTCAAAGTGAAAACAAATTTCTACAATTTAATATGAAGTCATTGAAAATATAAAATGTAAAATAAGTCTTTATGTAAGATGAGTGAGGGAGGCCACCAAGACACCTCTGAACTCTGAAGGAGTTACAAGAAAGAGACTAGTGAGTCTAGNTGTCTCTAAGTGTAGCCCTGTGATAGACTGGTTACCTGTCCAGGTGAACCTGTCTTCACCCTGAGTCAGCTGGGATAGGCTCCGCCCCCCCGCGACCCTAATGAGGAGTAAGCGGTGAATAGATAATGGATGGATGGATAAAACTTATCTTAAAATTGCTTAAATATTTCATCAAAATCTCTTTATTCTGCATGTCTGTCTAAACAGATTGCAAAAAATAATAATTCATTCCATCGTTTGGGTCTGTGTGAGTTTTACTTCAGGGGAAGCTGAACCCTTAAAATGACGTCACAGTTCTGTTTTGTTTATTTGAGGGTGAAAATACAAAAATTCTCAGATCTGAAAACATGTAATTGTGAACATTGTGCCAAAATATTTGACAGAATTTAGTAGGAAATAGAAAGAGGTAGCATCTGAGTATTACTGAATAATCTGTCATTCATCTCTGAGTCTAAAACAAATTTAAAAGCATTTCCCTGGTCCTTGTTTTACAGCTAAAAACAAAACAGAAAAGAAAATGTTTCTGGTGTCGGAATAAAAAAACAATAAATCAAACTCGGTCCGTTTTACATTTTTTGCAATTCTTTTTTCTCCTTCATTTAGACGGAAGTCCTGTAAAGGTCCCGACAATCCATGAGTTAAATGTTTCTGAACATCGGTGTGTTTTTTACAGAACACTTCCTGAGCGACGGAAACATCAGCGTGGATGTCGGCGTGACGACGGCTCCTGTTATTACCGCAAACTACATCGAGTCCTATCACAAGGTACAGAAACGTGGACCCTCATCCACGAACCTGAAGGGTCCGTAACTCTGAAAACACTGACAGTGTGAAGGCAAAACTTCTGGTCCGACAACTTCAGTGTGTCTGAGAACAGTCTGTAGCTCGAGTGCTAAAGTCTAACCAGGAGACATTCTAGAGGTGAGCTAGGAGTGACGTCTCCTCGGAACGATTAGGTTTTGGGGTCAATCCGCTAGAGGTTAGAGGTCACTTTTTCTAAAAGGCCGTATACTCTCTAAAGGGTTGAAGGTAGATTCATGGTGTTTGGTGGAGATGAGCGACCATGTTGGGGCTTTCTGTTGGCGATCTTACATTTGACCTTGGATGATATTTAATGGTCAAACTCAAGGTCAAAATATGTTTGTTATACCAATTATATGCTAAATAGCATGTATACATGGATGGGACCCATTCCCCCTTGGACAACCAGCCAACCATATACAAGCTTCCAAATGGGATGTGAGATTTGACCTTTGGTGATATTTCAGGATCAAACTCAAGGTCAAAAAATGTTGATATTATATTTTCAATAGCCTGTAATGTATTCATGGATGGTTCCACCTTGGACAACCAGCCAACCATATATAGACTCCCAACTGGGGACAAGAAATGTTGATGTTGCTGTTATATTTTAAACAACATGTAATGTACACATGGATAGGACCCGTTTGACCTTGGACAACCAGCCAACCATGATTAAAAAAGAATCATGAATCAAGAAAACACCTATTTTGTGGTAAGTTGGACGGAATAATGGTTTACTGGTTCGACTACATCCCTCCACTGAGGGAACTCTAGTTTCATATGAAATCATCCAAAAGTACTAATTTCTTATTAACATCTTCAGGTGTGAAATCATCACATTGGACTTTATTCTGTGACCGGTTCTTTTTATTTTATTGAATATTTCAGGGTTTGACCCACTACAACAACACGACTGCTGTGATCAGCGACTCCGGTTTCCATCCCAGTCAGCTGACCGAACACAGGATGCTCTACTTCCGGCTCTCAGGTCGGCACGAGGCTTTTCTTTGACAAAGTCCAGTTCAGACGACTTTGTTTTTAAAAAAGTTTATTTATTGCTATCAGTCAGTAGATGATTAAAATGATTTCACTGGAAGTAAAAGTGATGAAGATCGATGCAAACCGTGTCTCGAGTCAAAACATCACTTTAGTGAAGAAGTTTAAAATAAATGTTTAGAATTACATTTTGATATTTTGTGTTGATGTTTTGAGTCAACTTTTTGTGTCGATATTTTACGTTAATATTTTGCATTATTTTTCGTTAATAATTTGTTCATATTTTGCATTAATACTTTGCGTCGATGTTTTACGTTCTTAGATCACATGTTGAATCCGATGCTCACCGCCGCCCACCAAGATGGCCGCTTCCAGCTGAACGTCTCCGGAGACGAACTCGCTGTAAGAAGCTGCAGCCAACAGAAGTTCACTCATGTTGTCGCTGCCGTTGTCTCATTATGGGATGGATGTGTTTCAGAACGCGTTCCAGAGCAACCTGTCCAGCAGCACACCTGAGTTCATCACGCAGGTAACAGTCCGGTGTTTCAAGAACATTCATCATTTCCAGTAAGGTTCCTCAGAGGTTAAACGTGAACAGAACGTTAACAATCGGAGGACGTTAAAAACATCCGTAAAAACTAAAAAATCTGGCGGCGCAGCACTTTATTGTTCTGAAACTCCTCACCCTATCTCTAAGGCTGAGCTCAGCCGCCCTGCAGAGGAAGCTCATTTCAGCTGCTTGTATCCGCGATCTCGTTCTTTCGGTCACGACCCAGAGCTCGTGACCGTAGGTGAGGGTTGGGACGTAGGTGGACTGGTAAATCCCTTCACAACAACGGTCCGGCACAGCGCCCGCATTACTGCTGACGCCGCACCGAGCCGCCTGTCCACCTCGCGCTCTGTTTTCCCATCACTGGTGAACAAAATCCCGAGATACTCAAACTCCCTCGCTTGAGGAAGCAGCCCTGGCGGAGTCCAACACCCACTGGGAACGTGTCCGACTTATTGCCGAGAATGCGGACACAGCTTGTACTTTGGGTGTACAGGGACCGTATGGCTCCTAGCAGCAAGCCTGGTACCCCATACTCCCTCAGTACCCCCCACAGAGTCCCTCCTGGAACATGGTCATCGGCCTTCTCCAGATCCACAAAGCACATGTGGACTGGCAGGTCGAATTCCCCCTCAGCAGCTCCACAAGGGTAAAGAGCTGGTTCACTCTCAGTGCAACGTTCAGTTTTGTGAATAACGCTATCACCAAACATTTTTAAAACGTTCTTGAGTTGTTGTGCCTTCGGGGAAAACATTCTGGAGCTAGAGTCTGACTAGAACTCTGCAGAACCTTCTCAGAACGTTCCTAGAACCTGCGGATGATGTGTTTCTTGGTGTTTGTTGTGTCCAGTGTTTGGCCGATCCGTCGTCCTCGGAGCTCAGGGTTTGGAGCTCCTCCGTTCCCCGTCTGAACACGACCAGCGCCGGTTCCACCGTCTGGGCTCAGGCCTCCGCAGAGCTCCGCTGTGGAACCGAAGGAACGCCGACGCTCTCCTTCCAGACGGTAACCTTCGTCTGCAGACGTCCGCGACAAAGATAAAGTTCTTATAAACCTAAACCTCCGATGTTTCCTTCAGTGTGTCAGAAAATTCCATTAAAAATGAACCTGTGATGCTCAGAAACTGTAAAAATAACAACAAATATCTGTAACGTCATATTTTAGATTTAAATACTATAAAAAAAAGAAGTCAATTTATGATCCCACATTCCCAGTCTGGAGAAAACTAATTTCTACATGTAAAAATATAGATTTTTGATGTGAACAGTTGTGGACAGTTTATCACTGTGGATATGTTTACTGTCATTTCAGGCATTTTTATTTATTTATTTGTTAATTTGGATGAATTAATGCTCATTTGTTTGTCATTTTTGAACAAACTGAGTCATTTCAAACAGTTTTGGACAGATGTGGAGTAACTCAGAAGGACATTTGGACAATTGTTTTGCCATTTTGTGCAGTTTTGATGTTTTTTCAGACCATTTTCATGTCAGTTTGAGCACATTTTTGTCATTTTAAACAGTTCTGAGTCACAGTTTTAGTCATTCTGCACAATGTTTAGGCATTTTTTGAGAATTAGCAGCAGATTGTTTTACACTTAGGACTACTTTGAACATGTGTCACTCAGTAATTCACACTGTTTTGGTTTAATGTTGATGTTAATGCTTCAGTAAATCCATGTGAAGCGTCCTGGTTGATTTTTTGTGTTTGGTGTTCAGGATGTGGTCGTCGATGTTACGGTTTCTTACTCTGAGAAGAAACTCTTCATGCAGGGAGACGTCAGACAGTAAGAACGGACTCAGACAAAACTCACTGGGCTGTGAATGAACAAACTCAGCACAGACTCAAACAGGGAGAGGCTCCACCTGGTGGAACGACCAGGAACTACAGCCGATCTACCCT